AGTGGAGCCCTTTCAGCCTACAGACAGGCTTCTTCAGTGGCCCTTGTGCTCTCTTCCCCGTCCCAGTGGCAATGTGCCCATCATTCCAGGAACTTCCTCAGCTAAGACAATCCTACATATGCTATTGACCAGAGTTCCAGTGCGTGTTTGCTTTTGTCCTGGGTACCTTTTTGGATGTCCAGGTCCTTGAACCTTTCCTGACTTTCAAAGCTAGAGGTGAGAAAGGTTGACAAAACAAGAACTAGAAACATGACCAGAGAGGATACAAATGGACAGGGTTAGATGCCACCAGCGTGTCCCTCGGAGCCATTGGTTGCTACAACTGTTTCTGTGAACCCGCTGTCTCTGTGTGGAAGCAGGTAATCCTATCTGTTTCCTTTTTGTTTTCTATGATGACATCTTTAACTACTCAGGTCTCCAGGGTGTCATTCCTTTGTATGAAATGGCTTTGTCTATAGTCATATTTGGTTCCTTTTTCCATTTCTTTCAGTGTATGGTCTTTAGTTGTTCTCTTCATGGTTTCCCTGGGTATTACAATTAACAACTCAGTTTATAATTATCTAGATCAAACTGGTAGCTATGGAATTTTAACAGTACACGAAAATGTTGGTCCTGAATAGCTTTATCTCTCCTTTTTTTGCTGTTTTTAATCACAAATTATATCTTTATTCATGGTGTTCATTCACCTATTCTTATAAGTATTGCTTTATAAAATTATATTTTAAAAACCATAGGCAAAAACAAATTATAAAATTAAAATACTTCAACACTGAAAAATATGAGCAAAGAGGCACTGATGGACAGACAGGGCCTAACCATGAGCACTGAAACCATTCCAAGGCCATGGCTCCCCTAAAATGTAAGTGCTGCAGGGTCTCAGTGCTCCTCAGCGGCAAAGAGAAATAATTGTTGCCACCAAATTATCTCAATTGGATTCTTGTCATCTTAACACAAGCTAGAGTTATCTGGAAAGAGGAACCTCAATTGAGAAAATGCCTCCATCCGATTTCCTATAAGCAAGTGTGGAGGGCATTTTCTTCATTAATGATTTATGTGGGCGGGTCCAGCCTGCCGTGGCGCTGTCACTCATGGTCCTGAGTTGTGTAAGGAAGCAGGCTGAGCAAGTGATGGGAAGCAAATCGGTAAGCAGTGCTCCCCCACAGCTCCTGCTTCAGTTGCTGCCTTCCCTCAGTGATGACTTATGACCTGAGTGTTACAAGTCGGAATAAACCCTTTCCTCCCCAAGCTTCTTTAAGTATTTGTTGCAGCAATAGAAGCCTAAGACACTGATCGTCAAAAAAAGAAATGAGTAGAACTCAAGGTCTGAGCTCCCATACACTCTATTCTAAGTCATAGAGATTGGGGGCAGGAAGGGGGGACAAAGATAAATGACCAAGAACCTGGTTTTCCTACAAGCCCATGTGTCTTAATTTGAGCTGCTGTAACAAAACATCTTGAATTCCATCATCTATCTGTAAGCGGAAAAACTTAGTTTTGGAGCCTGTCAAGTACAAGATCAGGTTGCTGGCAGAGCTGGTTTCTGATGAGGGCTCCACCTCTGCCTTTTAGATGGCGGAGCTTGTTGCTGCACCGAAAAATAGAGGAGGAACCCATAGGGGTCACCTTCCTTCTAAGGCCTCCTAAAAACCCCGCCTCTTACGCTATCACATTGATCCTAAGTTCCATCTTCTGAAGTTTGAATTGTAAGGGAACATTTAGATCATGGTACCATGTTTGTGTTTTTGCTGACAGTGTCTGGTTTAGTGGCTTATTTGTGGAACACCTGTCCAGGTGTCCTGCTATCTGTTTCGTCATGGCGGATTTGCGTTGGTGTTTGCTTCCTGGGTTTTTATTTTCCTGACACTAGGTGTTGGGTCCAGTGCCTTGTATATGCCGTGGAAGTGTTCTAACGTTGAGCTGCATCCCAACCCACATCCTTGGTTTCCTTCATAGTCTGTGAAGGATGCTCCATTACTCCTCTGGGTGCCCTTCCTAGTCTGACAGAGAACAGGTTAACAGCCTCAAGGCAGTTCTCACTTTCTACTTGGACTTGATGGAGCTCTCAAGTTGAGAGAAGAAAAACAGAGTAACTCGGCTTCTCCTAAGGGGGAATCACACATGTGCTGGGTTGTGCTCAGTGGCTTGATGGAAAACACCGCAGTTAGACAGATGTCTTTGCGCTCAGTTCTTTACTGAGTACTGTGGTGGAACGTGCCCCTTGCTGGTACATTATTCTGCAAGACTGTGAAAATAGAACAGTTAATGGAAACCTTGTGTTTCCTCCAGGAAGCTCACATCTGTGCCTTTGGTACCCCTCTCCCGCCCCAGTCCTCTCTGAATAACCCTGAGCCCAGATGCTTTCAGTGTCGTGGAACACAGAAATACTTGTTAATAAAGAAGCTGTTAAACAGTACTTAGACCTATCTGCCTAGGTTTCTGTGTATTTGGCTAGTACCAAGGGACTAGAGGGGTCTTAGTGGGGGATGAAAGGCTTCCTCCATGTGTTAGGCATCCCAGCACCATTCTTCTTTCTCTGGGACTCACTGTTGGAGAGATGGACCTCGCACTTCAAAGGTCAGTGGGGAAGCTTCTCCTTCAGTTGCAGCTGGGAAGTTGTTCTTTTCAGCAGAAGCCTGAGAACAAAGAGAATGCTACCCACCCCCAATGAACTCAGGAGAACATTTCCGAGGAGGATGCTTTAACGATGTGCTTCTATTTTTAATTACACATGGGTATCTCTGCAGAGTCCACACAAAGCATTTTTTCTACAACAGCGGTAGATATTTAGGTAGATTTGGGGATTGTTTCATCCGTAGGCCAGAAAGATTTATTTCCTTTAATACCAGTTTTAATTAAACTTTTAATAAATAGTGTTAAACTACTGTATGACGTCATAATCTCACCTTTTTCAAATTGATCTTTTATTGATGTGATGAGTTTTCCTTAGTGCCTTTGTTCTTGAATTATAGTTATTTGCCTTTGAGATCTCTTAAGTTAATCAGCTGACTAACTTAAACCTTATTGTAACAATATTCCAGTTTCAGTAATGGGGGTTTATCAAGAAAGAACTCAGAGAATATTCTTAAACTTACATTGAGAAGCATGGTTAGGCTTCACAGACTTAATACAATTTCTGTACCAAGGTAGCCAATTCTTTTGCACAGAGAGTAAAATTTTGATATTCTTTTTCTCCAATTATAAAACCATAAGAAACTTCTGGAAAACTTGTTGACACTGAACCAGCATTCTACTTGCCTTCTATAAAATAAATCAATAAAGTTAGTCTTAAATTTTTCAAATATCTATTTTAAAAGATTTTTTCCAATATTGGTGCATGCCTTCATCCTCCCTTTTCCCATACCTATGACTTAAAGTCACACAGCTTTTAATTATTTCATATTTTACAGAAATGTATTCCCTATTGGCTATGTTTTAATCCAGGAACTTCTTTTGTTCTTGTATATTCCCGAACATTCTACATCTTAAAGATCTTTTTTTATATTAAATTTGGAACAAAATCCCCAGTGAAAATAACAAGAAATCCAGTGGGGAGAGGCTTAATAAAAACCCATTACCATATATGGCAGAAGTCTCTCCCCTTGCTTGTCAAGGCTGTGTTCCCAGGGGCCAGCTGCTAACAGGCTTAGAGTCTCTCCCTCCGTGGAGGAGAAGCTGAATTGCCAGTAAATTCTAGCCATTTGCTGCCTTTTAAGGATGTCAGATATGTCTATCTGCCTATAACTTTTTCTCCATACCTCTCTTTTCAGTCTTTGTCCCTCTGTCTCTCCCAATTCCTTCTTTCTTTCCTCTTTTACTTTTATTTAATCCTGAATTTATGTAGATAAGCTGCAATCTCATCTATGGCATGGAACTGGGTCATATTTTATAATATAAACTGAAAATAGTTTTGGTTTTAAAAGCTATGTAAGCTGCCTTACAAAAAAGGATTCAATTATGTGTATTTGTCTGTCGTCTGAGTGTGCGAACACGTGTGTAGGCACCTGTGCTCGAATGGAGGCTGGAAGACGATATCAGATCCTTTGGAGCTAGAGTTACAGGTGCCTGTGGGATGCTTGGCTTGTTATGTGGTTGCTGGGATCTGAAGTCTGTTCCTCATCATTGTGCAGCAAGTGCTGTTAATAGCTTAGCCAACTTTCTGGACCCTGTAACCCCACACTAATGTGAAATAGCAATAAAGAGTCAGATCTACATATAGGGATATTTACTTAGGAGGATCCTACTCACGAGAACAGCCTAGCCAGCTGGCAGGGAGCAAGGTAAATAAATAGAAGAAGAAGGGGCTCCACATGCATGTCCCTCACTCTTAAACCTTCCACATGTCACCCTGACCACACCCAAGCAGGTGTGGCCAGGCACACCTGTCTCCAGCCCCAAGTGGGAGTGTCTAAGGTATCCCCTACACCCCACCCTACCCCACCTCTGCTTAAGTATATATGTTAGTTCAACTTTCTAGGTAGAACAGAAGTACGTGTGTATATATTATTTGAAGGATTTTGCAGATACTCTACTTTGTGATGGGAAAGCTAGTCCCAAATAGGTAAAGCTACCTTAGATTTTGAGTATCACATTGGGAAATAGTGTAATTTCCCTTTCATACAAACGACTAAAGCAACCCTGACTAAATATTTTGCCATGATTTGAAATGAAAATAAAACTCAAGTTTTTCTTAGACACGGGTATCAGTGACGTTTGAGAGTAGAGTTTCCATCTTAGCAATCTTACTCTCTAGGTTAACCTGTTTTGCTGAGCCTGCTTTGTGCTCTAACAACATGAAGATGATAAGAAGCAGCATCTCTCACTCACATGTTCTGTCTAGTTTTGGTCCATGAGAGTTACTTTGTACATACCTCTCCTACGCCACCTCCTAGAACATATCGTTCTCCTTTTAGTTAATCTAGGGTCTTTGGGATTTTTCTTCCTTTTTTTTTTTCTAATGATGTGGCTGAATCATATTATTCCTTTTCTCATGCAGGGCAGCCACTGATCACAATGTGGATAATACAACAGAAATACTCAGAGAGTGGCTGAAAAATGTCCAGAGACAATATCACTACGTGGAGTGGAGGCCTATGGATGAACCAGAGTGAGTAACAGGAGAAAGCTGTGAAAACCAGTCCTCCTCAGGCACTGGTTTCCAGCCACCTGGGCTTCCGATCTTGAGGGCATTTGAACTTTCATGGCCACTTTTTCTACATCTGAGCTGCAAACGTGGCCTTTTCTTCTACTAACAGGCCTTCACCACCCCCTCTGCCTCTTTACTCCTGAACTGCCAACCTAAGGTTTTCAGCAGCTTATAAATTATGATGATGGCATAGATTTTAAACACTGTTTTATTTATTGATTTTTTTAGTGTGAACTGTTTTATTTTTAAGAAATCATGGTGGGAGCTGGGCGTTGGTGGCACACGTCTTTAATCCCAGCACTCAGGAAGCAGAGGCAGGTGGATCTCTGTGAGTTCGAGGCCAGCCTGGTCTCCAGAGAGAGTGCCAGGATAGGCTCCAAAGCTACACAGAGAAACCCTGTCTCGAAAAACCAAAAAAAAAAAAAAAAAAAGAAAGAAATCATGGTGGACATTTGTACATCTTCCATAAATACCTTACTTTTTAAAGCTATGCCTTGAAGACTATTACATAGCAGTCATCGAGGCATTTACTCATATTTATCGTGATTATTTAGTCAGTCAGTGATGGACATATAGGCTATTTCAGTCTTAACATAGCAATTTCTTAGTCACTTCCATATCTAAGTCATCCCACATATTTATATTAGTCTATATTCTCTTGAGAAAGAACACTAATAGGAAAAATGGCATGGTGTATACAGAGAATATAATGTATGTGGTGATTTTTTAGACTGGTTTACAAGCTGGGGACTAGATAATCCAACAATGTTTGTCTAAGTCTGCATGCTCGACAGCCAGAGAAACCAGGAGCTTCTCAATCTGTGAAGTTGGAAGCTTTAAGACAAGAAAAATGAATTCACAGCCCCAGCTGAAGGCCTGGGAACAGCTGGAGAGTTAGTAGTTTGCGTCTCCATTGAAAGTTTAAAGGAGCCAAAGGCTGAATTCCATGGTGATAGAGAACAACACTTGGTTAGCGACAACAGAGCCTCCATCTGGCTGACTCCCTTTTCCACCTTTGTTCCCATGAGCCTCTCATCTGTCACAGGGTTGCCCACATTTAGGGTGGGTCTTCCCTATCAGTTGTGGTTCTCCATGCCAATCATCTCTGGAAATGTACACAAGAGACATGCCTCCAAGTGTACTCTACTAATCCCCTTGGGGTCTCCCAATCCAGTCAAGTTGGTCATTAGGATCAACTATTACATTGTAATACTGCCAGAGAAATCTTCCTAAGATACAAGTGAAATAATTTTATTTCTTTATTACAAAGATTCAAATGGATCTCAAGTACTTTCAGGACAAAGTTCAAACACCTGAGACACGCATACAAAATTTCCATATTTCTTGTTCTTCTGCAGAGAAAATAATGAATGCTTTATCCAGAATTTCAAGCTTACTTCTAAGCCCTGACTCCTACTGAGGCAGGTCCTGAAAGTGTTTTTTTCTCTCTTGTAACCAGCTCTGATTCTAAGGCACAGACCTTAGAGAAAGTGAAGATTTTTTTTCAAGTGTGTAGATCTTACTTTTATTTAGATTGCTTATTTTCTTCTTTTTATTTAAGATTTATTATACACACACACACACACACACACACACACACACACATATATATATATATATATATATTTATGATTCTCTATCTGTATGTACAAGAAGAGGGCCTCAGAGCCCACTCAATAGAGATGGTTGTGAGCCACAAATGTGGTTGCTGGGGATTGAACTCAGGACCTCTAAAAGAGCAGCCAGTGCTCTTAACCATTGAGCCATTTCTCCAGTCCCTGATTGCTTATTTTCTATGCTTTCCTTTTGACATAATAGCTATCCTTAATTGAGTTATCCTTAATTAACCACAATTTATTCAAGCTTTTTAAAAATTAACTGTGAGCTTTTGTCAGAGGGTCCAATATGCAAACACTTTATATTTTCCCTCGTTGCTGTATTTTTAGCAGCCACCAAATTAAAACTTGCTGGATGAACAAATGAGTGAATAGAATAAAAAATAAATGTATCTAAAACATAAAATTGTAAATGTCCCCAAGGCCACTATGATTCCAACTTTAAGATTTATGGAAATTGAATGAATAAGTAGTCTGCATTTCTGCACAAAAAAGTCATTTATTGAAAGCCAAATGTGTATAGCAATAATAGCAAATGTCATTGCAGAACAAATGTATTCTTATAGACTCTATTTTATACATATAAAAACACACATTGAATACCTATGTGTATATATAAATCTATAATCCAAGTCTATGGTCTATATATTAAGCAAATTTATCAATTAAGTTTGAGTGCTATAAAAGATTTTAAACAGTCCTTTGGTATGTCTTGTGATGAAATTTAGCCTAACTTTAAAAAATTACACAGGTAGACTTTATGCCCCTAGTTTGCTTCCCAGATATATTCTCCATAGCCAGATTTTTTACCTCATAGAGTCTATGCCAAGGTCAGTATGAAAAAGATATTTCATAAGGCATTTTTGGCAATATATTCAGAAAAACAGGAATTCCACTAATTTCCACTGGAACAGTAACTGAGGAAGACATCCCAGAGAATTCCTGGACTATCTGTAGTTTATTAATTATATAACATTATTTGTGTAGCAACAGTCTTGTGTTTGTGACTTTTCAATCATTAAGGCAAACACACTGCTCACACACCTCCAAGAACTTGAAATGCTGGCCAACTGTAGTGACAACATCCATACCCATCTCAGCTGAGTGAGTATGGCATTCACTGAATCTTTGCCTTTGTGGCCATTTAAGAGTCTTGGTCTAGCCTTCTTATGGTGTAGGCTCCATCACCTCACATACGACAGATCAATTAAACTTCATTGAACCAGTTACTGAGATTTCAAAGAGTAATCTAAACCTTAAGAAACTCATACCTTGACCCTGTATTTCCCCATTTATTTGATAAGACATATTACGTATCTAATAATACAAGATTCGGGTAGTAACTGCCTGATATGAATTCTGGTGGTACCACTTACGGTAACATAAACCACTCTACACCAGTATCATCATCTTTGGAATTGAGAAAATAGCAAGATTACTGCATAAGGCACTTAAATCCCACTAAAGAAAAGCCAGGCACAGCGGTGATCATATACTTTATAATTAGAAGGCTGAGGCAAGAGGATACTTAAATGTAGGAATTCAAGATCAGCCTCAGCAATAGTGAGACTTAACCTCAAAGAAGGAAGAGAAGGAGAACAAAGAGAAAGAAAAGACCCACTGATGTCTTTCATATAAAGACTATTGATTGCTTAATTTCTCATTGTTCCAGTTTGCTTATCTATAATATAGAGATAGTGATAATACCAGTCCCTTCTTCCTGATTCCTAGAGTGATGGAGGAATGAGTCAGTACATGCAAACACTGGAGGGCGGGGCTATGTCCATGCAGGCACTCAATGACTGTAAGTTCTTCTTTTAGGTCTTACCCTGATGAAATTGGACCAAAGCACTGGCCAAGCTCCCGGTTTGCCCATGTCATGAAACTGCGACAGGCAGCCCTTCGAACTGCAAGGGAAAAATGGTCAGACTACATACTGGTAAACACAGATGCTTGATTCCTTAACAACTGTTCTCCAAAATGCATCCATAACCAAGAAGTAGACCCAAGGAGCAGTCAAAACATGCTTTTGTTTAGGCATGACCTTCCCCATGAAAGGTTAAAGGGAAATTTTTAGTGCTTAAACATTGTAATACCTGAACTTCATCTCAGATCTTCTTTGAAATGTTTTTTCAGTGAGTTGTATGGATGGCAAGGCTTCTGAACTATGTGTTTCATAGCACAGGCATAAGAAATTCTGAATCATTTTAGTAGTTGAAGTCTTAATGACTTTTGTAAGAATTTTAAAAACATAAAAAATTATATAAAATGAGATTGCAATGAACACATCTGAAACTCTGCCCCCCCTTTATCCATAAGGTAATTTGGGAAATGGAATCTCCTGTTTGTCCTCCTAGATACCACCTGGTACTCACACAGAATTTCTCTCCTTGGGGGTTCCATCATAGTCCTGAGAGCTTACAGAATGGTTCAAACAAATGCTGGGCTTGGTGACTAGGTGTCCATGCACCCTCATCCTTGATGAACCCTCTCAGTTGGAAAGGATGTCTGCTGATGAGGGAGAAAGGAGTCACCATCCCATTTCCAGACAGGCTATTTTTCCATGAGTTTGTTGAGCACACATCTCCCACTGTGACACTAGAAATGATGCCAATATTATCATAGTATCATGGTGGGTATCGGCCTTTACTAGACTCTGATTCTCACAATGTTTTAGAATTGACTTTGTTTTTGTCTTCTCCTAGTTCATAGATGTCGACAATTTCCTGACTAATCCACAGACCCTGACCCTAATGATTGCAGAGAACAGAACCATTGTGGCCCCCATGCTGGAGTCCCGGGGCCTGTACTCTAACTTCTGGTGTGGAATCACTCCTCAGGCAAGTCTTTTGGTTAACTAACTGAGGAGAGTTGACAAAGCATGATCAGGTTAATAGTAGCCACCCTTCTCATGTCTTTTTTAGAGATGTGTGTGCCACAGTGTCACTGAAGAAAGGAGGTAAGCCTACATCAAATGCCACAACCCAGTGGGCATTATAAATAATATATTCTAAAGAGTTTAGTGCTAGAAGCTTCAATTAACCAATAAGTATAACAGATTTTGTTTTCCCTTTTATCCAGGTCAGGGATTCATTAATTTGGTTTTTGCAATTAAAACATCAATATAAAAGCCCATCGGAAAAAAATGTAGAAGTACAAAAAAGCATTTTAAAAAAGCATAATAGCCAGAAATAGTCATTCCACCACTGTGTCAACACCATAGCTAGATACTTGCATTTCTTTAATGACTGTACCCTGACCAAAGGCTATCTATAATTTACTTAAATTTCCTCTTATTTCAACATCCAAGTTGTTTCCAAGCATTTTAACAATTACAATTACCACCACCAATGATGCAATATTTTTACATCTATATATGATTTCCTTAAGATAATTTCTTGGATCTTGTCATCTGTTACTGAACTACTGCTATTAGGAGACACCATGACCAAGGCAACTTGAAAGAAAGCATTTGATTGGGGTTTGCTTATGGTTTCAAAGGGTTAGTCCAGGATCATCATGGCAGGGAGCATGGCAGCAGACAGGCTGGAGCAGTAGCTGAAAGCTCTTATGATTGGGGGGCTAGTGGCCGACTTGGCTTGGGCTTTTAAAACCTCAAAGCCTACCCCAGTGACACATCTTCTACAAGACCACACCTCCTAATCCTTCCCAACAGTTCCACCAACTGGGAACCAAGCATTCAAACATGAGCTTATAGAGGCCATTCTCATTCAAATGACAACAAAGGTGGAATCACTGAGTCAAAGTGTATTCTGATGATCTTTGATATAGACGGATAAATTCGTTTCCCTAGAGTTCTGATGATTGAAACTGACATAGAAGCTTGCTTTTCAAAAATTGAAGCTAAAATGTGAATTTCTAATTCTGTTTTTGTAGTCAATCTTAAATTTTAGATATTTATTACAGTAAATGCCAACAAGTGTTTTATTTGAATTCTTAATGAATTAGACAGATAAATTAAACTCACCAATATAATGTAGCCATATTAGATAAAAATGTAATGAAGAGGAATATGTGTTCTAGTGGCCAGAGAACTAAGTTTTGCCCCTCTTTTTATGTTTGATTTGGCTTTGGATGAGGAATGAGGCCAACAGTATGATGGATACTTAATAACTGGCTTTTGCAGAGGGGACACTAATTGTAGCATGTTCTAATTTTTAGGATATAAATACTCCTTTCATACAAAGAACTGCAATATAGCCACTTGATAATGTAGTTATTAAAAATACATAGCAAGGCAGGCATGGTGACCCAGTACTCAGGAGGCTGAAGGCAGGAGGCTGAAGAATTCCAGGGATCAGGGCTGGGGAAATGGCATGTGTTTCTTGTGTGTGCATGAGGACCTGCCCATGTAAAAGACCAGGCATGATCCCATGTGTGCCTATAACCCAAGTGCTACTGGGAGTTGAGCCAGTAAGATCACTGCAGAACACTGGTTACCAGCCCAACTCCAGGATCATTAAAATAACCTGTCTTTGTTTGTTTGTTTGTTTGTAGACAGGGTTTCACTGTGTAGCCCTGGCTATGCTGGAACTCACTTTGTAGAGATAACCTGTCTTAAAAGAATAAGGAGGATAATGATTGACCAGGATACCTAAAATCTTCTTGCCTTCTATATGTGTTCATGGGTGCAAGCATTTCCGCCCAAAGCAGGTGTATATACCACACACACACACACACACACACACACACACACACACACTCATGCATATACACACAGACACATGTTGTGTAACAAGACTTTTCCTGGGGAGATGCTATACATACATCTATTCACCCCAGATAGGAAACCCATGACAGACAAACAAACAGATACCACCAAAGTCCAACTTGGTGAATCTTAAGTTTTATTGAGATTTCTCGTAGAAATATAAGGTAATGGTTAGTTACAGGAGCAGAAATAACTCAAAAACAGTACATCACCAAAGCCCACTCCAGCACAGGTGGCAGTGCCCAAAAGTTGGAAACCTGGAGCACACTGTATAGCCTGCAGGCAGCTCAATAGATTGGAGAGTGTCCCATCCCAGTGATGCAGACGGTCTAAACCTCTTGCAGGCAGCTTGGGGAGTTTTTGCTTATTGCACGCAACTGGAAGTTTGGTCTCAGGGTCTTTGCAGAAAGGGTTTCTGCCCTGTTCGGTTCCCCAGACTTTTCATCCCAAGTAAACATAGAGACTTCTATTAATTATAAATTGTTTGGCTGATGGCTTAGGCCTCTTACTGGCTAGCTCTCTCTTAATTATTAACCCATAACTTTAATCTATGTTTTTCTACATGGCCTTATCTTACTGGAGAATGCCTGGAGTGCTATCTTTCTGGTAGCTACATGGTGTCTCTCTCAAGGCTCCTCTCTGCTTTCCTCTCCCCAGAATTCTCATCTAGTAGCCCCATCTATACTTTCTGTCTGGCTACTGGCCAAGTGGTGTTTTATTCATCAATCAATAAGGGAAACATATGTACAGAAGGACATCCTCCATCATTGGTTAATCTGAGAATTCCCTACAGGATAGAATGTTTCAATCTCAGAGGAAACTGATACACAGAATACATACATACATACATACATACATACATACATACATACATACATACATACATACATACAGAGAGAGAGGAGTGAGGGAGGGAGGAAGGGAGGAAGGGAGGGAGGGAGGGAGGAATTGGAAGGATAGAGCGGGGGAGGGAGAGGTTCAAGGCTAATTGAGCATGTTTGTGAATGTTTATAATCCCAGAATTTGGAAAGAAGGATCAGTAATTCACAGGCATCCTCAACTACATAAGGAAGTCAGAGCCTAGGCTACCTCAAATCTTGTCTGAAATAATCAGAACAGAAACAGAAAACAAGAATTCAAGGCTAATTTAAACTACATTATAACACCTTGTCTAAAAAACCAAGGAATTCTCACATGAATGGTAATGGCTGACATGGCTTTTGCTTTTACATATTTTAATCTGCCAGCATCTCAAATGGCTTGCAAAATTGCTGAAAATGTAATAACCAGTGGTCCCAACATAGCACTAGACCAGGAATTCCTCTTTCTCTGTAATTAGAGTCCTGTTTCTAAGAGATTTTTGAACGATTCTTACCATCCACTTGTTTTTGAAGGAGACAACAAGTTGATGTGTAGAAAGTTTATTCAAAAGTTTATTCAGTTCTTTGGAGAAAACATTGTATTAAGTTAGCACAAACTCTCCATTAACAATCTACAATGTTGCACGTGCCGGGCCACCTGAGGCTTGTTTTGAGTGAGTTCTGCTTTGCCACGAGCAACAGCGGTGAGAGGAGGTTATCCTAGCAACTGCAGCTCCCAAGTTTCTATTGGTTCCTTATTAAAAGTGAGTAGGAAGAATCTGCTCATCTATTTTGCAGAGCAAAACTCAATTCTGTGCAGCCTTGGCCAATTATAGTCATCTTCATCTGTTTCTGGCTTTCTTCCACCCTAGTCCATTTTCAACTTGGACAGGAAGGGAAATGGCCAATGACTTCATAAGCTCAAGGCAGCCCTACTTTCCAGAACCTTTAAACACATCCAAAACAAAGTCATATTGCCATTGCCTGGCTAACGAGCAGCACCTATTATCAATAAACTTCAGTTCTTTTGAAAGAATGATATAACCATCGTGTCCACCTCTCTTTGGGAAGCTTGTCAATTCTCTTTTTTCTCTGCTTCCTTTAGTACCATCTCTCTGAGGATAGTCAATGGTTCATCACCCTCCTAAAACTTCCAAGTTTCTCATCCTAAGCATGTCACCCCTCACAGTATTAGCCTGAGTCTATAGGGAGAAGCCCTTTGAAAAACCAATGTCCCCATTATCCGTTAAAGAGCTCCCATATGCTGAAGCATTAGGGGAAGCCAGTGCTCTAAGGTCAAGCAGCTAGCAAGTGGTTATGATGACTGTAAGACTCACATCTCCCAAGTCTCTGTTTATGATCCTTTGGCTTTATCATATGGGGTGATGGGGTTAGCAGCGCAGCTAACTCTTCTACACACTGAAAAGGGTACCACAGAAGTGGAAGGAGATGCAGTGCCTGTTGCATGGTGCTGATATCACAACCAGAAATGCACCATAAAGGAGGAGGAGTGCCTAAGGAATACTTAGAAACTTGAGTATCCAATGAGCGCTGCGTGCCCCGCGGTGGTAGTCTTGTGAAACTTTCCAGTCATCCCACTGGGCCCCCATCTCCTATTGCATGTTTTGTAAATGCTTTTCAAAGCTTCTACACACTTTAGAGAGCTATATTGTCCTTCTTCCTGGAATGTTTTCATGATCTTTGTGACTAGTACCACTGGAGTAGATGTCCTCTCCAAGATTCTACACCCCACATGGGATAGTCCTGTACCATCTCATTGATTAACTGTCCTTCATTAACTGGATTACTGCAGGCATTCCATGGGGATTTGTTGAATGAAATTAAATTTGGATGGAAAACAAAATGATGCATACCAAAATAATTGAAAACCACAAAGTGAGAGGATAGATTCTCCCATGCTCCCATGCAGGAGAAAGTGTTAAAATGGGGGGGGTGGGGAGAATTCCCCCCAAAATGTGAAGCTGTTAAGAATTCACTGAAATACCAAACCAGCAATTGCACTGAAAAAAGTCCCGGAGGTATATGTGGAAATAATGTATGCTTCAAAAACATTAGCCAAGTGTAACATAGTCATTCCAATGCTAGTCAATCATGGTTGGGACTTTCTTAATGTTAGACATTATTCTAAGTACTTCATAGCTCCACCTTGCTTAGTTGTGTAGGGAAAGAAAACCTTTGGGGTAGATAATATTAACTGCCTGTTTCAGAGCTGGGGGAAAAGGCATAGCAAAGTTGAGACATCTATAAACAGTAAGAAACTGAGGTAAGGCTTGAACCAGACATGTGTTCATACTTGTCTTCTCTATCCCCTTTATATCAATATTAATCCTTCATATTTTATCATAAGTCTACATGTACTACACTTTGTGAAATTACTAAATCAACAGAAATGGGGTAAAAAAAAGGTTCCTCTGCCCTCTGTGTTTTAAAAGCAGATTCATTTCTGGAGCACATTCAGAAATTCTTAGTTCAGGATAAGGAGAGAGGAAACAGTCTGGAGATTTCTGTTGACCTGTGATGGCAGATGACTGGATGGTGATGCTTCCAGTGAGAGAACATAGTCTGTCTATTTGCTCTCTTCCAGGGTTTCTATAAGCGGACACCAGACTACCTTCAGATTAGAGAGTGGAAGAGGATCGGCTGCTTCCCCGTCCCCATGGTCCACTCCACCTTCCTGATTGACCTCAGGAAAGAGGCCTCCAACAATCTGGCTTTCTACCCTCCACACCAGGACTACACCTGGACCTTTGATGACATCATTGTTTTTGCCTTCTCCAGCAGGCAAGCAGGTACTGTTTGTGTTTGGCTGTAGGCTGCCATAGAAACACTGCAAAAGGCATGCCCCTGTGTCCTGTGCATATTTAAAAACACCTCAGTCTCAATTTCAAGTCTGAGAGACGATAAACTGTTTGTACTAACCATGCCAGAATCCTCTGTGCTGCTGTTCCTGAGTGCCAAAGATCAAGAGCAGGGCTTGGCTCCACACAGACTCCAGTCCCTTCTGGGAAGGATCTGAGTTGATGGGCAGACATGATAATGAGAGTCTTGAAAATTTCACTGACTCTCTAGAGCTAATGGTATTGCTGTTTCTAATTACAAGAATCCTACTATTAATTTGGAACCTAGAACAATACTGGTAAAGTCTCCAAGCTTCACAAATGGAACTATTTCCTCTCAAAAACAGTATGTGCCGCTGTAGTGGCTCTGTCCCACAGTTCTTAGCAGCCCAGATTCCTTCTTTACTAACTTTTCATAATTCAGGATGCATTGCCCTTAATAACTGCCCTTAATGTAGGATGCAAGATCCCTCATCACCAAGGATGCTCTATGCATTTAGGCAGAAACTGAACTATACATAGGACTCTGCCCCTGTCAGAGAGAAATCCAGAAGTTGAACACGTGCATGTCTCCTTAGCCAGAACTTAACAAGAGGTCACTCCCTAACTTGGAGGGAGGCTCAGAATGTCATCTCCTTTCCGTGTGGTCATAAACCCGACTCTCTCACTCTCAGGAACAGATAGTGGAGGTAGTCAGCAGTCCCAGCCTCCATCTCAGTGGAAGGAAATGCGAAACCAGACTTAAGTACCTGGTGAGTCACTATGGCCACTGGATTTTGTGGGCTTCTTGGCAAAGCCAAGCCAATAGAAAGGAAAGGTGTTCTGTTTTTCTTCTCTCTTTTTTTGCCTCTTTTTCCTCTTCTCATTCCCTTGGGGAGACTAATTCACAAAAGTAGTTCAGGATGACTCCTGGCTTTACTAAGGTACCTTCTTAAGAACCTCAGGCCTTCCTGACAGCAGCCAGGGCCTATTTAGCCTCTAACAAAATGAGTTTAGAAACCAAGAAGATGGTGAAATAAACTCATGGTGGCTAACTAGGTTGTGTGAAAATGATTTTTGCAACGATCCCTGGCATCTGGGGAGGTTGCTGGAAGATGAGAATGTTAACCCAGATCCAAGCTGCAAGATGTACAAGACATAGATGTCCCACTCACTGATGTACATTTGAGAAGAAAGAGGATATTTTGTAGAAACGGTAAGGCTGGTTTTCCTCTTTGGTAGGATAATTTAGACTGCTTAGCCTGATGGCGGCATTTAGGGAACTTTGTGTAAAGGAGAGGGAGCTCCTCATTGGTCTGGAAGTTTGCACGAAGGTTTTCGTGTCCATGTTAATGAAAGCTTCTCCTAGATGTGTGGTTTGCTCTGACTTCTCCAAGGCCAGAAGCAGAGGCAGGGCCTTCCTGTTCCAGCAAGTTCTGCCAAGCCTTTGCTTCAGAGTTGGAAACAAGGAGAAGTGAGCTGTTATGATTATGGTGATGGTCAGTGCAAAACAGATCTTTTTTATACCCATTGCACAAGATAGCCTTGCAACCCAGGGGTTAAATGATGATATGTCTATTTTAAACTAACATCCAAGTGTTAGGCCTGGAAAATGGATGCAGGCTATCCTGGAATTTTCATCTTTGCTGTTTGTATGGCCTGTTCACCAGTCAGGCTACCTGGGTTATTAAAAGCAGATATGGATGCCCAAAGCTGTTGGCAAATTATCTGAGGGAAACTAGAGGTGGAAAATGAAAGAGGCCCTACAATTTTGTCTGGCATTGTGTTAAAGTTTATAATTGTTGTGGAGTTTAGATCCTTAGCTGTGGAAACATAACTAAGTTTTGACACCTATGAACACTTAGGGCCAGATTAATGGTGCTTACACAAACAGGCCAAGAGAGAATTACTGAAGGCTACTGCCTGCAGCTGTGCATTCTAAGGTCATATTTCATTAATGTTTTCATATTTCATTGATGTTTTCAGAAGAAGGACTAATGAACCTGGGAGCTACCTGTAGCCCCTGGCACATCTCAAAGCTCTCCCTTTCTTCATCAAGTTCAAAGAAAAATACTCCTCTCTCCCTTGAGAGAGACTTGGTGAAAAATGGCTGGTATTCTTTTGTTTCCACTATTCCAAAATTCTCTGGATGTGCATTATCCATCAGAAAATAATTTTTTAAATGGACCAAAAGAAGCAAATTGTCTCTCTGTACTAAGCAGGACCGTGAGGGTCATAGACAAGTCTCTGTGGCAATAGTGAGGCCAGGGGCAAGAATTTAGCTTCCATGTGGCTAGGAATTAGACTTCTGTATCGTGACCACAGGAGCCCTTCTCTGTACTAGCCAGGCAGCTTCCAAATAATCCACTGTGATCCAAATAAGTAGTACATGGAAGGAAGGCTGATCTACCTCAGGGACATCAGTTGTGGCAGTCACACATGCATTCTGGTGTAAGGATGGCAGTCCCAGAGGTTAATGGCCTGACACTAAGCTGTAAGCTCAAGGTGGAGAGAGAGAGAAGTTGGAACCAGCCCTTGGGGACAAAGATTTGGTACTAATAACTTACTGTGTGGCCCTGGGCCAATCACAGCCTGAGTCTGATTTTTCATCCCAGGGAAGAGATTATTCATCAATCTTCATTGTTTAGGTGTATGTGACTCAGGAAAGCATTTGGTGTCTTCCTAAGGAAAACAAGGCCCTTTCCTCACAACACTTGTCTCTCTTTCCCAAAGATTCACCAGAAATTGTTACAGCAAAATAATCTCAGAGACTTTATCTAATTGTCAGTGAATCTCCTTTTTTAAAATCATATTATCCATGAACATAGTTGAAAGGGCCCAGTGACCTATGATTTATTAAAATGAGTACTCCCAGTGTGTCACTCCTGAGAATGGGTACAGAAATATATATGCATATCTGCTTTTAAGTAGCATGCACCTTTCTTCTTTTCTTTGTTTTAGCCTCCCCCCCACCACCCAGGCAACCCTCCATTTTAGATGATGATAAGTGAGCTCACTTTCCTTTGACCTTTATGTGGAAACACATTCTTCCTTATCTCCTTGTCCTCTCCATGCAATTAATATGTTGAGTGTTAGCGTGAGTAAGTGGCTTAGTAGTTAGGAACATGTGCAGAGGACTTGGGTTTGGTCCCCAATTCCCACACAATTGACTCACAACTGCATGTACCTCCCATTCCAGGGGATCTATGCCAGCCTTTGGCCTCTTTGGGTACCACACACACATGTGGCACACAAACATACATATAGTCACTCACAAATACACAAAAATAAAATTAAATTTTTTAAAAGATGCTGCCGGTTTTTATTATAATCACATGAGTAAAACACCAGATCACTATAAAGTTTTCCTTTATCAAACAGTAATTTCCCCCCCCCCCGTGTATGTGAAAGAGACAGAGATCACTAATAAAACTGAAAACCAATTACTTATTTTCTCAAACTTCTAGAGTATTCATAATTAACAGCCATCCCTTTTTGCATGTTAGAAGATTCTAAGATGTCTGTCTTAAATTTTTCTGATACACTCTAATCTCAGAGCTGTCACAGCCATTGACTTGGACCTAAGTTTGCCTTGTATCACCTTTCTTGTGTCTTGAGTCTTTCTTGTGAATGGTGATCTTTCTCCTTCTCCTTCTTCTTACACACCTTCTCTTTTCTTCTTTCCTCATCATCTAGTAACTTGCTGAGCTAAGTGTGATGGGAGGTAAATATTTTATGGACTTGTATTTCATATCTGAAAGTGCCTTTTTTGTATCTGCTCACTTGGTGGATAGTTTGGCTAGGTATCATATGCCCTTTGTATGGAAGCCTTGGGACATTAAATGGTTAAAGGGGGTTTGTCTAACTAGAATAGAGAGGCAACCTAAACTTGAGTCTTTTTTTCTACTTTCTTAATTCATTACAACTTTGTAAGAAGTTGCATTCTGGTTTGTAGTTCCAGAAACATTCGTGTGAGCAAATAGTACAGCTAGTGAGTTCGACTGAAGAAGGCAGCAGAGGTGACAGCACCTAGTGAGACCAACCAGAATCAGCAAAGGTGGAGGACAAAGGCCCTTTTCTTTCCTTGTTCTTCTCTGCTAATCCCATAAGACAGCTTCACCTGGCTTGGTGGGTGATGTAACTGACTGCTGGAAATTTCATCTGCCCCAAATAAAGATGTCACAATGTGGATAATTTCCTCAGGAAAACACCAGTGATTATAGCAATTAACAAGTCAGGGGCTTGGGTGCATAGTTTGAAGTTTGCCAGTGTGTCCTTGTAACTAAGTAAGTTGGTGCCATTGCTGGAACTATGAGACCATCCTGAGTCTTCATTCCTAACTGTCTGGATGAACAGAGGTTCTTTTTAGTTCTCCAAGTTCACTGGTGGGGGCTGAAAATACCAGAACTGAATATAAGAGAACTATGACATTGTTGGCACTACCACACTGCAGGTTCTTAACAAACTTTGATAGGAAGGGTTGTTTTTGTCCCTTTATGGACTTATTTTTGAGAATTTTGTTCATCGGTCACTCCAAATCCGTGCCAGCCACAGGGGAAAAAAATAAAACCAAGAAGAATCATGGGAAATTACAAATTTCCTTTGTATCTTTTAAATGTTTTGTTTTTGTGTGCTTGGATTTAGTTCTAATAATCTGTCAGCCTCATAGGATCTCCCTGTGTGCTTTCATGTCAAATATGGATTTCATTCCTCATCTTCTTATTATTTCCTGTAGATGGATTAGACTGTTCCGTTCTGCTCTCTGGAATGGGAAACACTTCTTCCTGTCTGATCCATGCCTTTACAGTGTTCATTTCAGGTCACAAATGGCTTTTTCTTCAGAAAGAAAAATAAATTTCCTCTGGACTGAAGGATGGTCCATGGCTTTTGAAGAACCCCCAATTCTGTTTCAATTGTTTAATAAAAGAACATTGTAAAGCTCTATAGTCAGTTCCCCTAAACAACCCATTTGTTCAGCTTGAGTGTTGAACTTAGTGTCAGCCACAGTCCAGTCTCCCTCCCTTACTAAGAAGTGTGGTTTTTAACTGATTGACTTTGTTCTCTCAAATCTTCAGGCATTCAGATGTACCTCTGCAACAAAGAGCACTATGGCTATTTGCCCATTCCTCTGAAGCCCCATCAGACACTGCAGGAAGACATTGAGAACCTCATCCATGTGCAGATAGAAGCAATGAGTGAGTGACCGGGGATCCAGGGCTGTAAAATCTCTAACTAGAGGTGAATGAGATATCAAACCACACAGGATATTCACTAGGCAGTAGAAACCAACTACTGGGAGAGTTATTGGAAAATAATGATTGAAGCATTGGAACATGTACTCTTCAATGAATAGATGTGGGATCCATACCTGTGATAAGAGTCACTCCACAAAGGTACTAGGAAGTCCAAACATTTTACAGCCAACCCTCGGTTTTCAGAAGATCACAGTTCATTTGGGGAGACAGGACTAATATTAAAAGCACACCAACAGCACGGTGTGCTGTGAACAGAGCCAATGCAAAGACAATGAGAATTTAGAATAGAGAAAAGTTACTGTGGCTTCTGTGATCACGTTCAGCCCTGATGCTTCTTCAGGTGATCTTGGGGAGAAGTGGGTAGGTCAAACAAGAGGACTGATATGGTCAGGACACTACAGGATGAGGAAAGAGGCTGAGCAGACAAGGAATTTCCATCCTGGAAAAAAGTGGGCTAAAATATTAGGAGTAAAGTTTAAGAAGTTGAAGTAGCTTGACTGATATGGTCCTTAATTAGACAGTCCAGAAAAAGTAGAATATCCATCCTAAAGAACCAATGAAGGTCTTAGGGGGAATAAAAGGTCAGGCTAGAAATATTCACTCAACACATGCATAGTGCATAATTTCCCATAATAACGAAGTACAGCAATGAACAAAACAAGCAAAACCTCGCCATCAAGAACTTATATTCCATCAGAGAGATAGGTAATATATCAAGGAAGCAGTTACACGAATCTGTGGGGGAAGAATTCCAAGCAGAAAGAACAATACATATAAAGACCACTAGAGAGGAGAAATCTTGGGAGTGTTCCAGGGCCAGAGGCCAACATGGTGGGGAATGAGGAGCTGGGTAGAGGGAGATGAAGTCATGGATGGATGCAGAACACACTGGCCGTGGCAAGGAATTCAGATTTTATCCTAAGAGCAATGTGAACCCATAGGGTTGTGTGATGTGATTTTTGTATTTCGAAAGATCACTTAAGCTGTGGTGTGGGTACTAGAGTGTAAGGGATTAATGCATTTATCCTGCTGAGAGATGTTAGTGGTTGAGATTTGAGCTGTAGCAAGGAAGTAATAAGAAACAGACAGGTTTAAGGCCCATGTTAATGGCAGAGCTCATTGTACTTACAGAGGCTTGGAGGCAGTCCATAAAGCAAAGGGAGAATTAAGAATGACTCCAATATTTTGGTCCATACAACTTACTGAGTCAAAAACGCTTCACTTCATCATGTATTCCTGACGTATTTATTGCATGTCTGAATAGAGAGGCCAGGAGATAAGTAAATATAGGAATCTGTGGGTTCCGGGAAGAGATTCCATTGAAGAGACATTTGAGACTCATTAACACCACGAGGCTGTTTGAAGCCAAGGAGCAGTGTGATCTTGTGTAGTAAAACAAAGGAGGACAGATACCCAGAGTAGACTAACAGCCAGAAAGCTGGGAATTAATAAGGAGGTATGTTTTGAGAAAGAGCCCAATGCTGTTGGGAAGCCAAGTGAAATGAGGATGAAGAAGTGACCCTTGGAAATGTCAAACTAGAACACTGTACCAGATGCTCATGCTGTAATCCTAACACTTAGGAGGAAAGGCAGCAGGCTCAAGAGTTTCAGGCCAGCCTGAGCTGCATAGCAAGTTCCAGACTATCCTGGGCTACAGAGTGAGACCCTCTCAAGAAAGGAGTTGGGAAATAGAAAGAGAGATGCCATCATTTTTCCTAAGAAGCACTTTGATGCAATGACAGGGACACAGGCTGATTGGGATTGGTGAAGAGAAGACAAGGGAGAGATGAGAAAAAGGGATCATGACAGGATGTGGAATAAAGAAATGGATGGAGCTGCTGGAGGAACTGCACAACTGTTTGTCCCTGCCCTGGCTGTCAAGCATGGGTCTCAGGCCTAGAGCCTAGTGTGCTGGGACAGGTCTATCCCCTGACCCTTTCTCTAACAAAGCACTCTGGTTCTTCTGTCTTCCAGTTGACCGTCCTCCAATGGAACCCTCCCCGTTTGTGTCAATTGTCCCTAAGTATCCAGACAAGATGGGATTTGATGAGGTAGAAACAGACTCTCTCTCTCTCTCTCTCTCTCTCTCTCTCTCTCTCTCTCTGTGTGTGTGTGTGTGTGTGTGTGTATTCACATAAGTGCAGACTTGTGTGTTCATGTTGAGAAAAAAGAACAAACACCTGTCTGAGAGCAAGCAGGCAAGCTTGGCCGCTGGAAAGGTCCCGAGGACTTGGGCTTGTTGTCATTCTATCTTCTGCTCTTCACAAAGGAGGATCATAGAAAAACGTGCCAAAAATGTGAATGTGAATTTGCCATGTACTTTTTTATTGAGGCTCAAGAGTAAGGTAAATTGGTTATATGTTCTAAGTTCTGGAGACATTGAGTTTATTCTGCCATAGGTGAGTGCATGGAAACTATTCTAGAACACCCAATGCTTTGTTTTCTTTCTGCTTTTCTTCCATGGAAAAAGGTTGGGGGACAGAGTTGAAAGGACAAATGAAGAGAGAAACACGTTCTAAAATTCTGTCTTTCGGCAGGCAGGAACTTTTGGTAGTTCCCTAGGGCCATATCTACTGTGCGGTTGTAAGTGTGTAAAGGACAAAGCAGAGGCGGACTTCAGCTCAGTGGTAGAGCACTTTCCTAGGATAAGTGAAGCCCTGGGTTCAGTTCCTAGCACCACAAATGAAAGGGGGAGGGGAAGGAAGAGAGAAAGAAAGAGAAAGGGGGGAGGGAAATGGGGAGAAAGAGTGGTGAGGGAAAGGAAGGAGTAAGGAAGGGACAGGCAGAAGAGAAGGAAAGAAGGAATGAAGGCAGGAAGGGAGGGAGAGATGGAAGGAAGGAAGGAAGGAAGGAAGGAAGGAAGGAAGGAAGGAAATAAAAAGGCACTTTTATTGGTAGTGTGTAAAACAGGTGGTCAGCAGGGCTGGAGAGGTGGCTCAGAGGTTAAGAGCACTGGCTGTTCTTCCAGAGGTCCTGAGTTCAATTCCCAGCAACCACATGGTGGTTCCCAACCATCTGTAATGAGACCTGGTGCCCTCTTCTGGCCTGGGCAGAACACTGTATATATAATAAATATTAAATTTTAAAACAAAAAACAAAAAAACAGGTGGTCAGCAGGGCTGAAATTGCGAGTCTGTGTCTCTGAGACCTTCCTGGTCCCTAATGTGCTTGCTGGCCAGTACTGAGGAGTTCTGTGGTCTGGACAGTGCTATGACCTGCCAGAAGTCCACAAACTGAGACAGAATTCTTCCAGAGGGATTTAAGCACAAGCATTGTGCTTTGAACTCAGTACATTTTAATGGGAGGAAAACACCAAATCTCATTAACATCTGTGGCCCTAAAACATGTCCATGCCAAGGAGCAGCTAAAGGGACTAGGAATTGTTCTACAAAACTGTTCTACAAAACTGAATTGAAGCTAGAAGTCCAAGAGTAGGAATGGGTGCTTAGTGAGCATCAAATAGTGATCATGCTATTTCCACAGAAGGCAGAGAAAGGAGAGAATTTAAATGTAGCTAAGTATAAATAGACTCTATTCAGTCTATTTCTATTTACTAAAATTAGTATATAGTTTTCAAAACTGAACAGTGCTACCAGGGTGGGCTGACCAGAGCCACAGGGGTGGGCGGGCCCTACCTGGGTGAGCCCTCCCCAGGGTGGGCCTTCCCCCTTCCTCTCCCTCCTCTTCCCTCCCACTTGCTCCTCCTGAGTGCAGCTCTTGCTCCATGGGGCACTGAACTCTCCTCATTCCCTAGGAGAGAACGCTCAAGTGTCTTTCCTTATCTCCCCTTTTCCTCCTGGAATCATATTTCTGTGAGTACCAAATCGCAGCAAATGAAACAAAACCTGGACCATCTGGCTCAGCCATGGGCAAGGCCTGGTGTTAGGCCAGCCCTAGAAAGTGAGGCGGGCAGGGACTCGGCTTTCCACAGCCCAGGATAATCATCTCTCTGTCTGCAGCAGACATGGGCTGTGGAAAAGGGGTGTCAGAGGCCTTTTCTGTCCTCCCATACTGTGACCTGGTTGCTAGTGTCTGGCTGCATTTGGCACTCAGTTCTTTGCTCTGTTTACTAAGTATGAGTGAGCTGTCTGTGTTTTTCCTTCGTGGCTACTGACTTTATTGCCCTTGCCCTGGCAGGGCCCAGGACAAGACTATTATTTACTGAAAGCTTCCTTGACTGGAGGCCTCTGGTTTGCAGGGGACTTTTATTGGATGCTTCTCTGTTTATTTTGTTTTGTTTTTCTTTGTCTCCTCGGGTGACCCCAGGTGGCTCCCTGGTTGTGCAGGGGAAATGCCATTTCCTTCCTATGTCTGTAAAACCTGGGAATGGAACATAGCCCTTGACAGGATTTTAGAGAGGGAGAAAACGAAGCATGAAGGAACACAGAACTTTAAGCTATAAAGTCCCCAATATATGGCACACAGAAATAATGACTTTTTGTTTTATTAGTAATTATCTAGTTGGGTAAACCAAGGAGTCAAATCCTGCTGCACACGCCTGCCGAGCCCCATCACACAGAGATGTCGTAAGAGGGTTCTGCTGCTCCCGTGAACCTATGTGTGGACAGAGATAAGACTATTTTGCAAGGGAAAATTGAAAGCTTAGTTAGTATAACTTTTCTGATCCAGCTAAAACATATAGTTTAAATTACATTCAGGATGATCACTGAGCCAAAGCTCTTAATACAGTATAACCTGAGCCCCACCCTGATTAAAGGATGAAGCCAACTTTATCATAAGACAGATGCATGCAAGTTTTCACACGTACAGGTCTTGAGGGCTGGCTTTGTTCAAATACCTCTTTTTCTAGACAGCAGAGCTAAGGACCCAGAGGCATTAAATGTCTTCCCCAGAGTCACCCAGAGAGGGTTAGTCCTCTGCCGTGTCCCCTGCTTAATCAGGAGGAAATGAGTGTCCTCTGCCCTGTTCCTGTAGGTTTCACCTTCACTAGGACATAAATTCCTACTGGCAGCTAACATCTCCCAATTTCAAATTGTTTAATATTCAAAATCAGTTCATTACCACTTGTAGCAAGAGGCCCTTATTCAAATGATAAATTTATAGATGGATAAGATAATTCTGTGAATGAAAGTACCTGCTGTCCTGATGGAAGTAGAAGCAGACACCCACTGCTAAACTGAACTGAACTGGAACCCAGTTGTAGAGAGGGAGGAATGATGAGCAAAGAAGTCAAGACCAGGCTGGTGAAACCCACAGAAACAGCTGACCTGAACAAGGGAGAGCTCATGGTCCCCAGACTGATAGCTGGGAAACCAGCATAGGACTGATCTGGACCCCATGAACGTGGGTGTCAGAGGAGGCCTCGGAAATCTATGGAGCCTCTTGTAGTAGATCAGTACTTATCCTAGCATAGGAATGGACTTTGGGAGCCCATTCCACATAGAGGGATGCTCTCTCAGTCTAGACACACGCGGGAGGGCCTAGGCCCTATCGGAAAGGATAGGACAGACTCTGAAGATGTCCCATGGAAGGCCTCACCTTCCCTGGGGAGCAGAAATGGTGTGGGATAGGTAGGATGTTAGTGGGGGGCAGGGGAGGAAGGGAGGGAGAGGGAACTGGGATTGACATTTAAAACAATCTTGTTTCTAATTTAAATTAAAAAATGGAGGAAAAAAAAAAGTACCAAGCTGCTGCCAAGCTGGAAGACGTGAGTTTGATCCTCGGGACCCACATGGAACTAACTCCTGTAGATTGTCCTATGACCTCCACACATGCGCCATAGCACCTGCAGCCATGCATTTACACTTTACACACTATGCACACTAACTAAGCAAACGAATATAAAGTGCTAACTTACCTGCAACCATGTTCACCAGGCTTTAGTTGCCTTGTGATGTCTATGTATTAGCACTGCTGTCAATCAGGCATTGACAGGTCAAAGTGAGGGGTATGGGGGCACTCAGCCCTCACTCAGAAACATGACATGCCAGCAGATGTCCTCTGTAGCGCACGCTACAAAAACTCATACCCAAGCTATGTTTTGCACTTCACTCCTCTGTCAAGGGTAGCCCCCAAGGTAATGAATGGCCTTGTTTTCTTCAATTTCTTTTTTCTCTTAGCTCTAGAGAGCTGAAGAATTCTGACCAAAACAAACAAACAAACAAACAAACAAACCATCTTCAGAAACTGAGATCTTGACATTCATCCTCGAAGTCACTCTATGAAGATTCAGATTTTTCTCAGTTCTTGAAAGATGTAAAGCTTACCTTATAGGATGTGAGTTGTGATGATACCAAACAGTACTCATGGGGTAGAGCCACGTGGTCCCAATTCCCGAATAAGGAAACTGAGGCATAGGAGCAACAGGCCTAAGACAGACAGCAAGAAACAGTATCAAAAACACAAGGATGTCAATGCATTCAGCCACTTGGTTTGATTTAGCCATTTGGCAAACCACTTCCTCCCCAGCAGGGCTGTGTGCATACAGTTTAATTCACCTTTGGCCTTTGGGGTGGTATTTTTTTTAACTTTATTTTCTCAAGAGTAGAGAGAATGCATTTATCACTAAATATCAGGGAGACAGCAGGTAAGGCCACCTCTGATGGCTGCATTTAAAAATCATCTCCATTGTGAAAACTAGCATTTGCACACACACACACACACACACACACACACACACACACACACACCATGAGCCTAATAAGGAAATACAACACTGTACCACAGCTTTCTTCCCGTTCCTTATTCTGCAGACCCCTCTGGTCCTGACATTTGTTTTGCTCAGCTTTTCAATCAACCTAAAATAAACCTTGAGTCACTTGTGTATCTTTCTCCTTTTGCTTCCTGCATTAGATTTTCATGATTAACCTCAAACGCAGGAAGGACAGGCGGGACCGGATGCTGCGCACGCTCTATGAGCAGGAGATTGAGGTCAAGATCGTGGAGGCCGTGGATGGGAAGTAAGTCTTCCTTGCAGGTGTGGTTGGAGCAGGGTGGTGCCTTCTCTGACTGAGAGGGAGTCTTGGGGGTGGGGGTGGGGCACGGCCATGGAGGACAGATGCTTGGGAGGATGCCAGTAGTACCAGGGATGCTTGTTTCTACCTGTTGACTGGGCCTAGGGCCACTCTCCAGCCAGTGACCTCTGAGTCTCACACCACTCCATATGATTGCCCTGTCTCTGTCCATTCTCAGAGCTGTGGTGGTTTCCAGTTTCCTCTCATGTAATAGAGGGAGTGTATTTGGAATCGTGTTCAGGTCTGAAGCAAACAAACAAACCAAGAAGCTAAAGGTCTATGTGTCCTGTTGTGTGAGAATTGGCTTATAGTGTTATTAAAATTTTATTTATATGTAAGTTTTATGTCTTCCTAAATGATTTATCATCTCTCATTGTCTTTAGAATATATTTTCTCTACAGGTTTATTTTTTTCTGATAATAATATAGCCCCTCATCTCTCTTACAGCTACCGTTCACATCATGTATCATTGTCCATCCTTTTACTGTCAACCTATTTGTGTTTTGAATCGAAATCCTGTCTCTTGTGGGCAGCATGTAGTTGGATTATTTAAAATCCCTTGCTGTTGATTGCAGTGTTGAATCCATTTGCCTTCCCTACCCTTTTTCCTGACTTCTAAAGGCTTAAAGTGAGAGACTGGCGTCTTTGGAACTTTTTTCTAGGAAAGTTTACAGCCTTGAGTATAGTTTTGTCTCACAGATTCTCAGAGATAGAGATTCTTAAGAACCCATATTTTAAATATCTTAGTCCTCAGTTTTTCCTTTGAACTTTTTGGGTAGCCACTCCTGAGACCTAACTGGTAATGCTGCCCCTATAACTCTAATGTTAAAACCATCAGACAGATAACCTGCAGAGAGGGCTAGTCATGGGGAATGAACCCAGAGTCCAGTCCAATAAAGACAAGCTCTGAGAATAGCACTTCTGGAGACTGTTGGCTCAAATAGGTCCTCAGGGGTCCCAGTCCACCCTGGCACTTTCAGTGGCTACTTGATCCCAGTTCTCACAACTTATGGTTTTGTGAGTGGCTGGTGTTTAAGGATGGTGTAGGCCTGGGGAGAAAGTAGTTCAACTAAGGTAACTAGAAAGCCTACAAAACTAACTGTGCATATAGGTTCCGCTGTTCTCCTTAACAAACACGCCGTGGTTTATTGTAGGACCTTAGTTAGGTTCCAGAGTTTTGGAAACCTGATGGTGGCCATTTCACCAGTGCCTCGTTACTTTTATAAAGAGACCTTTACTCCATTTGGGAAGTTTAAGCAATGTTTTATTTTAGACCTTGTTTGAGTTTCAGATCCAAAGGAATGCCACATATGCATGGTTTCTCTTCTCATTACTTCCTGTCCTCAGCCCTTCCAGCATGTAATGTGCCTATAAATTGCTTTTCCTTCATTAGGAGAGTACTTCTTCAAAGTTTTTAGAAAAATCAATGGAAAACAAAAAAACCAAGTTGGACACTGTAGGGGATGTACACATGTACAAGAGGCCGTTTTACCTTCATCGTGCTCATAATGTCACTGTGGTCCACCGACCTGGAGGGCATCAAGGGAGTTATAGGAAACTGAGAAGTGTTTCTCCCTGTATGGAGAGGCTCTACAGAAACATGCTCTCTCTCTCTCTCTCTCTCTCTCTCTCTCTCTCTCTCTCTCTCTCTGTGTGTGTTTGTGTTTAATTATGATGTCTGTCTGTCTGTCTGTCTGTCTGTCTGTCTTCCCCCTTGTCTCCTTCTTTCCCTTCCCGCTCTGGAGTAGAGACATCTTGACTTAGATATATATGTTCATGCATGTTCTTTGTCACACAGGGCACTCAACACAAGCCAGCTGAAGGCCTGGAACATTGAAATGCTACCAGGGTACCGTGATCCCTACTCCTCCAGGCCTTTAACTCGGGGTGAAATTGGCTGCTTCCTTAGTCACTTCTCTGTCTGGAAAGAGGTAATTAATTCTTTAAAGGAACAGGCTTGTTACGATAAATCTTTCTGCCAAAAGCCGCCGAGCCCCACCACCACGTGTGAGATTTATGCCAGCTGCCCACCCAAGTTAAGCCCAAATGAATACACAGAAACTTGTATTAGGTACAATGCTGCTTGGCCAATGACTAGGACTTCTCATCTGCTAGCTCAGTCTTAATTATCATAAATCTATATATGTTATAAGACTTATCTTATCAGACGCCTTATTGGTGTCCCTCCTTGCTGGTGGCTCACATCCTGCCACTGGAGGAGGCGAATGGGGCAAAAAAGGGACCCTTCCTGTTTCTCCTTTCCTTAAATATGAGTCTCCTTGCTATGTCACTTTCTGCCTGGATCACCACTTTCTACTACATTTCCCAGAATCCTCTTTGACTCCTAGTCCCGTCTAACTTGCTGTCTCATTGGCCAAACAGTATTTTATTTAACAATCAATAAGATAAACATACACAGTACATTCCCCATCATAGGCTGGTAATGAGGAAGAGGAGGGAGAACAGAACTTTCCAGATGGATTAGAACCAGATGCAAAAGGATCCTATGATTGTCCCAGATGTATGCTTACATGTCTCTCTTGCTTTGTAAATCCCATCAGCCCAAGGCCAGCAACACAGACACTAGGATGGTGGTCTCAGTGCTACTTGGAATGGTGGCAGGTGAAGGTATTCACAGCGTACGAACATTATTTTTCTTAGTTCATTTTCACTGCAAACAGGAATTGTTTGTTATGCCTGTCATGTTATCATTTATCAAATGAATTCATGCAAGAGTCACACGGAAGGCTCATGAGGCAGGGTGAGGAAGGATGGCTTCTTTCCACACAGGCAGAAATGAACTGTTCTCAAGTAAGAAGATTCAGAGCCATAGCTTGACCCTGTGTCTTATGTATCCAGATACTTGCGGAGGTGGCATTGGAGTGCAGGGCACATGAATAAGGCTCAAGTCCCACAAGAAAGAAAAAAAAAAAGGGAAGGAATAAATACAGACCCCTTGGTGACCTCTCTCCTTTAATGACCCAGTTGTTTTGTCTTGTTTTGCTTATCTCTTCTTTCCTTAAGCTTTAAATAAAAATGTTACAAAAACATAGAGAAGTACATAGATCATAAGGGACTATCAGTGAAATCGCACACATGGAAGACATCCATATTAATACTAGATCAAGAAACAGGTGACAAATATGCCAGAGTTGTCCCCATTTGCACAACATTCTAGTCACTATTCTTCAAGGGCTATCACCATCCTGGCATCTGAGAGCATAGTCTGGCCTGTCTTTGTACTTCCCTTTATGTGAATGGAACCACACAAAACATGTGACCCCTCAGTATTGCATATGAGAGATGTTAACCTGCAAGATTGCTATGACTGCAACACTGATTTAGTTCTCATTGCTATGACTACGCCACATTCATCTATATATCCTGCTGTCAACAGGCATTTTCTTGGATCTGAGCTATGTGATTTCACAAATGAAAATGGGTATTGAGTTTTCATACAGTCTTTCCCCACTGGTGGCCTTTATAGGTTATTGACCGGGAACTGGAGAAGACGCTCGTCATTGAGGATGACGTGCGTTTTGAGCATCAGTTCAAGAAGAAGCTAATGAAACTGATGGATGACATTGACAAGGCTCAGCTGGACTGGGAACTGATGTGAGTCACAAGACGGGTAGCACTCAAAGGCAGTCTTTCCCAAGGTACAGAAAGCCCATTTCCCCAGTTGGTAGGAGACCCGACTCAAGCTTCACATCCCATGTACCTGGATTTTCACACCACAGATGTTTCCAGAAGTAGGGAGAGGTTGGACAGTTTGTTGTTGTTGTTGTTGTTGTTGTTTTTGTTTTTTTGTTTTTTGGTTTTTGGGGTTTTTTTTGTTTTTTGTTTTTTGTTTTTTAACCTCCATCTACTTTTCAAGATGAGAAACAGAAATTTTTTTTTTCATGAGATTGGTGTTGGCCAGACGATCAGGGACCTCATGACAAAGCAATGGAAATTTCACCAGTAAAGCAAAGTTGCCTGTGGGCAGGGCATGAAGAGTGAGTAGGAGGCATTCATTAAAGGGTTAATGCATAGCATACTTGAACCTCAGCTCCCAGGACAAGGGTTGCCTCTGCAGTCCCTGATGGGGCAGGTGGGTGTAGGAGGCTCAGAAGAAAACTCCTGCACTGGGATGGGATTGTCTAACAAAGACAAACCCTGGCAGCTGGGCTTTCGGCAGGAAGCCAGGCTCACTAAGAGAGTGCTGGCTCAGAACTAGTATTAGCTAATGCTTTGTCTCTTGCCTCTGAGCCAGCATCTTTTCCTTCTTCCTTCTTTCTTCCCTTTCTCCCCTTCTCTCCTTTTGTTTCTCTTTCTTTGTAAAATAATCAACGCTTTCTGTTCCCTCCAATGAGGCGGAAACATCCCAAGGTCCCCAGCTGTGTATCTAAGGTAATACTGTCAAATCAGAGCCTGCTCATTTGGAACAGCCTGGCTTTCCTTGTCTTTCCATCCTCATCAGGGAAGTTAATTTTGGACTCTGGTGGGAGACCTGTTTCCATAGAAAGTGGCCTGTTCTGATCTTAAAAAGAAACACACTGATGGCCCAACTAACTCATAGGAAATAGACCTCAAAATCAGTACTAAAAAGAGGCCTTCCCCGACAGACTTGAGTCACATGATCCATAATCTTAAACTGTTTCAGTCACTGCTCTTCAGTCCTTCTGTATCTGTGGCTGTACGGCCTGTGGTAAAGCCTCATGCCTACACAGACTGCAAGCCATGTTGTGCTCAGGTGACACACAAAAAAGGTAACTTTGACACTTGATAGTCACAGAAAACACAGCCCAGGACACCTAAAGCAGAGATTCGGCACACATCCCTTCTCCTGTGTGGCATGAAGGCCAGACAGCTGTCCTGATAAGGATGGAAAGAGTAAAAGAGTATTCTAAAATGTCACAGATCTTAAAGAACTGTTAACTGCCTTAATGAATAATCACTCAAACCAAACACCAAAACTAATCATCCATCCATAATTAGCAGCCTTGTTGTTTCCAGAAAAAATAAATAATAAATGGGGTTAATCTAAACAGTCACTGGACTTATCTGGGGAGTTTTCCTCAGTAAGAAATATAGTGGGGCCAAATATGTCATTTCAAATTTTCTGACCATACTGAAAGTTAAAAAATAAATGAAGTAAAAATTTTTATTTAGCCAAATACATCCAAATATTACTATTTTAGCATGTAAGTACTATTCCTAACCATTAATGAAGCAGTTTATGGTGTTTTACTATCTTCAAAGGCCTATGTATAATTACACTCAAAACACATTTAAACCCAGAAAATAAAATGTCAACTGTTAAATTGTAGTCCTACCAATTAATAAACTTGCTTTTCCAGAAAAGCATTTTACAGAGCTAAAATAACAAAATTGTAACTTCTTTTTAAGATTCTTTTTAAGTTTTTGAAATTACAATATAATTTCATCATTTTCCCCTTTCCCTTTCCTCTCTCTAATCTCTCTCATGTATTTCTCTTTTCTGTCTCTCTTCATGGCCTCTGCATCCTTTTTTGAGGTTGTTGTTACATATATATGAATATATGGATATATATTCCTAGATATACAAATATAACTCGTTTAGCCTGTAGAATGTTGTGGGTATGTATACGATTTCAGGGCTGACTACTTGGTATTAGATACCCAATCTGGGGGTTCTTCCTTGAGCTGGGGAGCCTCTCCTGCTCTCAGTTTTCCTTAGTTTCCTGTAGTTCTTAACTAGGGTTGAAATCCCATGAGATTTCCCTCATCTCTGTTAGCATGTGTATTGGTGTGATCCTTACTCAGTTCTTACTTAGGCAGCTATGTTGTTGAGACTTCATGGGTGTGGCTTCCCTGTCATTCCTGGGAGATGCAATCTCATAGCAGACACCCTGTCCCTCTGGCTCTATCTTGCCTCCCCTTCTTCCATGATGCTCCCTAAGCCTTAAGTGTAGGGACTGTATTGGAGGTGGGTCCACTGGGGTACCATCTGAATTGGAAATTAAATTAGTAAGTTTATAAACTCAGTTCCTTGGCCCTTGCAACCGTATTTCAAGTTCACTAGAATTTTTTGCTACTATACATGAGAAATTCAGACTCTTCAGTCTGAAATGACAGCAACTGTAAGGACGCATGCCTGAGGTCCCCAGAAGAGCTGAGGATGGAATGTGTTCTTGTTCTGCATACCTCGGTGCCTTCTTCAGAGCATGCGCAGAGTGGGAAGGGGGAAAAGAGCATGCGCAGAGTGGGAAGCAGGGAAAGCTGTCAGAGTTGTCATTCAAACTGTCCAGAAGGAAACTTTGGGCCTCCTCCTCAGTGTCTGTGTCCTCTACTGTGTCACAGTCTACCGTAGCCTTTTCTATCCTGTTTACACCAGCACTTGCAAAGTGCTACAGAAAGCACCCGAGGCTGAAACTCTGGGGATGTGAAGATCCCCACAACTAGCCTCTTTCATTCCTTTGCAACGTCAGCTGGGAATCCCATTAGCAACCCTGGGAAATCATCCAGGCAATTTTTCATCTCTTTGCATCTTCCCTTTCTGACTTAGAGACAGACCACTAGTCTTGAATAGTTGGGGTGTTGATAAATGGAGCCTTCATGAGGACCAATAGCAATTGTGGATACTGGAGGAAAGTTCTCTGTGGTAGTATACCTTAGCAAAAGACACAACAGTCCAGTCTTTAAAATATATCCTTTCAAACTACATATGTGCTCTATTCTTCAAATATTCAATATCCTAATATCAAGTTGGAACGTTTCTCCTCATCCCCATTTCCTTACAGTTACATCGGTAGGAAAAGAATGCAAGTCAAAGAGCCAGAGAAAGCGGTGCCCAATGTTATAAATCTGGTTGAAGCTGACTATTCCTACTGGACACTGGGCTATGCCATCTCTTTGGAGGGAGCACAGAAGCTTGTTGGAGCTGATCCCTTCGGGAAGATGTTACCAGTGGATGAGTTTCTGCCAATCATGTACAACAAGCATCCTGTGTAAGTCTCCTGCCATGGCCACCTGTTCCTTGGGCACACACTGTTCAGGAATTAAGCCTCCTGGGTAGAACTGGGTATTTTTTTAATAGTTGTATGGTTTTTCTAAAGGATCCTTCTATAATCATGGCCTGGAAGGTTGAGTAGCCCCTTGAACAGACAGGAAGGACGAGGCAGATGAGGTGAGCTGCCTAACATCCTTTTCATTACCCAGGGCACAGGGCCACCATCTTCTCAGAATCTACTTGTCAGTGTGTTCTTCTGACTCCATGACTTCACATCTCTGGAGCTAAATGTCATTTTCTTAAGCACCCTAGATTTGAAGTTCATTCTGCTCACTCTACGTGTGTAGCACTAGTAGGCAGTGGTACACATCCTCTCGGTGCTTACCCTGTTGGAGATAACATAGACCCATGTACACATCATCATGATGTATCATGATATTTATAGTCATGGATATGGCAAGAAAATCAGGGAATGAGGAGGTGGCCCCTGAGCCAGGTATGGATGGAAAAAGGAGTTACTCAGAATCCCAAAGGCCTATGACAGACAGACACTTATCGAAAGGTCTGGTAAATGATGGTTACCTTTCAGTCCTCACAGTAGGCTATGAACCCTTGGAGGGAGGAACAGCCACAAACTCTGGGTCCTTAGAGTATGTGCAATAGCTGCTCAACCAGTGTCTCCTAAACTCATGAGTAGAGCAGGAGGCCGGGTTCCAACTTCAGCTCCTTCCGTCAGATGCTAAGTGATGTCCAATTCTGACCTTCATTTTAGCTGTTGAAGCTCCCATGATGCAGCTTGCTCATTTTGTCTCCTGTCATCCATAGAAATAGAACTAGCTACATGTCATCTTTTATGTGGCATGCTTTACCTCTGAATCCTGACAGAAACATAGAATCAAACCATTATCTCCTCAAACAGAAGGGAAATTAGTAGTTACTTAATTGATACTTATTTCACTTACAGACAAAGACACTGCATCGGTATCCTCCATAGGAGCCCTTGGAGGAGGGCCAAGATGCCCCTCTACTTTACAATTGCCTAGAGCCAGGGCAGCAAGCAAGAACTGGAATGCAATGCCCAACTAGCATGCCTCCAAGCCGTCTCCATGTCACTTACCCCATTGCTGCTGTCAGGGTTTCAGGCTTCATTTGTTTATCCAGGATCAGGACACTGGTTGTGACTTGACTGTGTCAATTTATCACTAGGAGTCCAATAGAGTTTAACTTGAAGCTCCTTCATTAAACTGTTCTACCCAATTGCAACAGGTTGGGTCTGGCCATTTTGCTGATTTGTTTGTACTGATCTTTTGAAAGCTTAAAAACAAAACAAAACAAAACAACAACAACAAAAAAAACCCTTGTGTTTGTAGCCTGAGGTTCTCTACAAATGATACAACTTAAAAAGCAGGAAATGAAATGAACTTGGGTGGTTTCAGAGATGACATGCAGGGTCCTCTGCCCTTCCCTGTTCCCCGAGGCTTCTTGCCCTCATGTGCACTTCTTGTTACAGAGCGGAGTACAAGGAGTATTATGAACCCAGGGACTTGAAAGCTTTCTCTGCAGAGCCCTTGCTCATCTACCCCACGCATTACACAGGCCAGCCGGGCTATCTGAGCGACACAGAAACTTCAACCATCTGGGACAATGAGACAGTAGCCACTGACTGGGACAGGACACATTCCTGGAAGTCCCGGAAGCAAGGAAACATCCACAGCAATGCCAAGAACACAGAAGCACTGCCACCACCAACCTCTCTGGACACTGTGCCTTCAAGGGAGGAGCTCTGAGAGCTCACTAGGAGTATGGTCCACATGGTTCATCACTGTCTGACTTTTCTAAAGGGCTACTCATCTGTTTGTTCCAGGTTTTTTTGTTTGTTGGTTGGTCGGTTGATGTTTGTTTGTTTGTTTTTTAGAGAGATGGCAGTCATCTAATCAAAGTGGTTTGATGTGATTGATAAATAATATATTTTGGATAGTGAAGAACAGAGAAATTAAAAACCATATTCCCTGGGATACATTTGCTGAAATGGCTGAGTTAAACTTCAGTCCAAATGCCCAGTTCTCACTAGCCATGGAACGCTGGTTGCCACACTGATGTGGCAACATGGCTTGTATTCTTGATGGTCCAAGAGATGGCACCACCAAGCTGCCTACCATTAAGTGGGCAGTCGAATCAGACAAGCCCCTGGACCTGTTTACTTACCTGAGTGGTCCATTTTATGTGGCAGATGTGACCTTGAAAATTGGCCCTTGTAACCAATGCCTGGGGGTAGGGAAATCAAAACCGTTAATTCGGCTTTTATTCAGAGGAGCTCTGTCAAGAGCCTACTACAAAGTGGATGTTTTATTCTTGGCCTCCTTATCCAGTGGGGTGAGTGGCTGGCTTGGGCTGAGATGTGGCTCTTGACCATCATGGCAGCTAGATCTTTCATAAAAATGTCTAGTTTCCATGTGGCTATAATATTTAGCTATTTATGGAAGAAGTATCTCAACCTTTGGCATTTTTATTGTGGCTTCTTGAATCCAATATGTACTATTTATAAAGAAAGCTATAATATATACAAGGTGAGGTATGGGGTGATTCCAGCACTGTGCTGGGGTTCACTTGCTGCTCAGCACCTCCCACCCTTTGGGTCACTCCTTTGCCTGGGAATGAACTGCAGGTGTGACTTTAATATGTCACTGTTAAGAGGCAGAACACATTTCAGGCTCACAATTGTCCTTGCCTTGGACTGTCATTATATTATTTATTTTACAAATTTGGAAAAAATAAAACATTGTCTGTAGGGTGAGGCAGAGAAATAGATGTCTCAGGCTCTCATCCCATACTCGGGGACATCAGTGTAGTCAGGTGTGTTCAAGCATCTGAGGTGCCTGAACTTCTCAGCTGAGCCTTTGCAGGGAAGACGGCTGTGAAAGATGCTAACCATTCTCCAATGAGTCAGGCAGACCTTGGTCCGGACGATAGAATGCAGTCAACAATCTGCAACTCTCAAAGCCAAAAAAAAACAAAAAAACAAAAACAAAAAAAATACCTTTTCTCAAAAGATGGCCCCTAAAGCTCCTTCCTAATTGCTCCAAAGACTAATTTTATATCAGGTGCAACAGAGCAACGTTGGACTGTGTCACGGTGTCCAGGTGCACAGCCACGTGTCTGAGAGCATCTCGCTTCGCCTCAGCTAGCTGGTTGTGTTGGTCTTCTCCACTAGCTATTCAGCTGAAGCTGAGAAGCTAGGCTTATCCAGCCTAGTTGACCTCTTCTCATCTAGAACAATAGGAAGAGCATTGGAGAGCTTGTGAGAAACCTTAGGTGATTCCTGGGCCTCCTTGGGTGTTTGGTATTTTGTCTGTACTTTGAATGTGTGCAAGTATGCCTGGCTTTAACTGTGTTTTTTTAGGGTGTGGGAGCTGTGCTGGGAGTGGGGGAGACTGGGTTGCTTTTTTGTGGTGTTCTTGTTCTTGTTGTTGTTTTCATGGAGAACTTTTCCCTATTTGCCCTGTCAGCTGGTCTGACGGATTTAAGGATTTCCATTCTTAAAAGACATTGGATTTCAATTCTAGAATTTTAGATTAGGACCTTCTTAACTGTGAATAAAGTTCTGGTTCTTTTGTCCAGCCTGTGTTTGTGACTGCTCGGATTTGAGTTCCCAGCAATGTTTTCATGGGAGTGCTATAAACTGAAGATCTGGTGCTTTTAGAAGTCATCTTGTCAGCAATCCGGAGGTTCCTTGACCTCACGGTTTGTCCCGCCTCCACCTCTCGTCTTAAACCTAGGCATCTGTATCTTTGCAGTGACACTCCAAGTCTTCAGTGCAGACTTGCCTCTGGCCCTCGAGCTGTTCTTGGTGCCTGGGAAGTTGAACCCCATCCTGTTTCCTCTTGAGCTGGGGGATCTTCTGATGGACAAGCCCGACCTTGGCAGCACAGGAGCTACTGTACGAGCTGGCACCTATAGTCTGCAGAGGGCACATCCCTTGGGGTCCCTCGGAGTCCCTTGGGAACCTGAAGGAGCAAGCATACCCACAACCTAGTCTGTCCTACTGTGCTATTTCAGGGTAGGGAAGTGATGAACTGCCTTCTGGAGCTCTTCATAAAAGTTAAAACTAAGAAAGAATCTTATAGCTAAATTATGCTTGCTCCTTGACTCTTCAAACCCTTGCCAGTGACCTACACCGCTGGGACTTTCATGTCTGCATTAGGGTACTGAAAACCAAAGAGAACCATGTACTGTCATGGGATTCCCCAAGACAAATGAGATAGGGCAGCTACTGCCCTGCTTATTCTGCAGGAGCTGCTGTGGACAGGTGAGTAGAAGTGTGCAGGCTAGCATGGATTATGGTGTATGTCCAGGGCAGAAGTCTCCCCCTAGAGGGACTTGAGGGTGCCCATCTTTCATTGAGCTAATACATGAGTCCATCCAACCATTCAAAGATAAAATGGTAGGGAGAGGGACTCCAGTATTTCAAATGAAACTTCCCCCAAGTCTCCAGAACCATGTATGAGCATTGTCTGGCTTCAGGCATTGTTCTGGGGACAGAAATATTCTGGGGACAAGGGCAGGTCCCCACTACTGTGGAATCCAGTCAATTTGGGAGCTACATAGGCAGGTAGCTGCATTTTAGAGATGGGAGATGTAGGCTGCAGGGTACCAGAGGAATTGATTCTGCTTAAGCAGCCCATGGATGATGAGGAAGGAGGAGTCGGTGGGGCTGTTGGAGATGCTTTCCAGGCATAAGGAAAGGAAGTATGCAAAGACCTGTCTATAGCTAATGGGAGAGTTGGTGGGCTGGAAAAGTGGAGGATGTGTTGAGAGAGATAGTGGAACAGGGCCCACTAGGTGATGGTGGCAAACTGACTTGATTACTTTCTGATCCTGGAGACAGAGGCTGCTGTCTGGGGAGGAATTCTGGGATTCTAGGTTTGGTTCCTTTCCTGACAGACAGTGTAGAGGGTTCCGGAACAAAGTTGTGTCTGAAGCCGGAAAGGTTCCCATTCAGGCACAAACCTGTTGATCTTACTGTTTCTCAATTACAATTGAATCAAGTGACTAAAGTAAAGATTACTTCTAGGAGGCTTTCCACCGTGTGCTTATGAGACACACTTTCCTACCGAGGAGGGGAGGGGCATGAGCCACGAGTGATCTCTTTGACTAACAAGAAATCAGTTGACTATGGAGTTAAATAACAACAAAATAAAGTTACAGTGAGGCAGGCACTTGAGAAAACAAAATGTAATGGGTTACACCCAAGGACTGGCAGTTCTGGAAATTGTCAGTATAGCAACATTGCATTTTGTAGGAACATTTTCTTCAGAGAAAATCTGCTGCTCCAGAGACATTCTCATAACAATGGCCAAGTGAAGGAGCTGGGAGGAGAAAGGACTAATGGGATCCCCTGTGACCTCGAATGACAGACTCCTCAGCACAGGGCATCTGAAACCAGGAAGAAAATTCTAGCGGGTTTTCTGTTTGCCCAATTGGAGAAGAGAATTAACAGTGGTGTCTTTCATCATGCTACCAGAGACTACATAGAAAATGGTGCCCCCTCTTGGGACAAGGACAGGAAAACACGAACTTGCTTTAGTGTTCAGGAAGAAATTTTGGTGGAAGTATTAGACACTAGGTGGGGTCCCAGGCCAACGGTCTGCCATTAAGATTTGGGGAGCCAGGATGCCACCTTCTTTTCTGCTCTTGAACTTACTGAAAACTCTCTCTCCTTATAGTCTTTCCCTCCTTTTTCCCCTCCCTCCCTCCCTCCCTCCCTCCCGTGTGTGTGCATGTATGCATGCTTGCTTGCTTGCTCCCACTGTGCATGTTCATGATTACAATGGTCTTGCTTGGGCCACAGTCACTGTGCTGCTCCCAACCCAAGCCATCCTCTCCTTGCTCCGAGAAGGGTGGGAGGGTGGAAAGAATGAAGAATCATCGGAGAATCAATTTTCTTTACTCTTGAATAAACTACATTTTTAGGCCCCTCCCTGGTTTCTTCAGCTTGTTTCTCTTGAAATGGGTGTGCAAGTCAACCTCCATGCCGGAGCACTTCCAATGTCTGAAAAACATCTGCTTCAAAGTCCCTGGGGAACTTAGAGAGAGCTCCTCTGCTCAGTTCCCAGCCCAGAGGTGTCCAGAAGCTCACTGCTGGAAGCATGTGCAGCCTTCCCCTCTGTCTCAGAGCATCTTAGAAAACAATCCATGAGAAAGTGTCCCCAGTGGAAGGAGAACCAGAGTGTGGAACAGAGTGTCCCTGTGAGAGCCTGAAGGTTCCAGCTGCTACTCTACGCCAGCTTGATATCGTGAAAACTTGATGGGGATTGTATGATCATGCAACCTGACTGTGCAGGAAAGACAAAACAAAACAACAAAAAAAGCAAATTTGAGGGAATGGCAATGCACATGAGTAAAGAGGAAAGTGAAAGCCAGCAGAGCAAAGTCCTGATGCCCAGAGGGATTCTGGGACAGAAGTACAAGGACAAGCAGAGATGAGAGGATGCCAGGCCATGCTTGGAGGTAGTGATGTTGGTGCTCAGGCTGGACACAGAAGGAAACAAGTAGAAACTAGTGGCAGGAGGGAGGTTTAACACAAGTGTTACTAGCCTAGTCCTTAAAGTGACCACTTTATCCTTTGAAACCTATCACAGTGGGAGAGACTGAGATGTGGTTAGTTGCAATGAGATGGTGGGACAGCAATAGCCTGGATTCAGGCATGTGTATAGGCATGTGTGTGCCTCTGGATAGGACCTTTGGAGCCAAAGGAAAGATGCAGGGATTAGACTCACACAAAAGGTTC